TGCTCCTCCTGCCCCGCCTGTCTTTCTGTGCCTCCCGCGTCATTAAGCACTTTTTTTGTGATACCCAGCCTGTGCTGAAGCTATCCTGTTCTGACACTTCCTCCAGCCAGATTGTTGTCATGACCGAGACACTGGCAGTCATTGTGACCCCCTTCTTGTGCATTCTCTTTTCCTACCTGCAAATCATCATCACTGTACTCAGAATCCCCTCTACAGCTGGGAAGCGCCGCCTGCCTGGGGGTGTGGGTGCTCGTGTGTCGGGGTGTCTGTGTGGTCCCCAGGGTCCATGCTCTGGGTCACCCAAAGCGCAGCGCCCCCAGGGGTTCGCCCGCGGAGCCTGCGCGCACCCGGGCTCCCTGCGCCTCAGACCTTCACACTATGAATGAGGTCTGGCTCCTGGGGTGCCTCTGTGGACCTTTAGCAGGTCCGGGTCTCTCCGGCCTCCGCCCCCTACCTCCACCCTGGCCCTCCCATACCTCAGAGGCTGGCCGTGAAGCCCGGTCCATGCTGTCACCAGCAAAGCGGGGAAAATAATAAAGCGGAGAACCGTTAACTCCTTCCCCACCGGCCTTGGCCTCTGTGCCGACCCTGCAACTGTCACCCCCCCCCCCCGGACCCGGACCCCCAAAACAAGCTTTAGAACTCCAAGGTTCCCAGGCTGAGTGTCCCTGGTACCAAGGCCTCTGTCCTTACCGTGGGAGGAGGAGCGGAGAAGGTTGGGATTGGCAGAGCAACCCCAAGGGAGGGCCTTCCCTACCCTACTTCCACCTGGGCCTCAGCCCCAGCCCCTCCCCATGATTGCCCAAGGTCAGGCTGGATCAGGCACCCGCTCCGGGCCCACCATTGGCTCACCAGGCGGGGAAACTGAGGCCGGGGAATGACTCAAGGTCATTTAGGAGACTGCTCGACACTGTCCCTGACCTCACCCCTCTTTGTCCATCTAGGAGGCCAGGGGCATCCTTCCCCAAAGAGGCCGGGTGGCAGGGCTGGCTCGGCCGACAGGCGGCGAGGAGGGCCGGCTCCAGTGGCGGGCTGGGGTCAGGAGCTGTTCCCGCCCTTCTCCTTTGGGGTGGGGAAGGAGAAAGAGCTGGGTTCCCACGGGAACTCAGAGCCCCCACCCTCCCAGCCTTTCACACTTCCAAGCACACCACACAACCCCAGGTGACATCACAGGCCCAGGAGGAAACCACTCACGGAGGTGCAACCGGCCCGGCTGTGCTCAGGCAGGCCCTCCGGAGGTGGGGGTGACAGGCATGCCAGGGGCTCCTGTGCTGCCAGAGACCTGCTCCCCACAAGAGGCCTGAAGCCCCCTGGCCGGGGACCACGGGCAGGCAGCATGGAGGTGCCCCCACCCCCATATGGGGTGCTTCCCCTAAGATCGTCTACCTCAGCCCTTCTGGCCCGAGAGAGTGCTGGCCTCTCTCTGCCTTCAGCAGCTCCTCCTGCCCTTTGGGCATCACAGCCCTGGACCAGGATCTCCTTCTGGGACCGGGCAGCCCGGACCACCCTCCCCCCCAGCCACTCCCAGGGCCGGCACCCTCCTCCCGCCGGCAGCCTCTCCAAAACA